GGTTGGTTTTGCCACACCAACACTGAAGGATCTGCTGGAGAGCCAAGGGTGGAGTACCAGTAATTAGCCCAGTTAAAGTTAAGGAGGCCCGAATCACCAGGTATGCAGTTACTCCAAAGACCTATCGCCGCCGGTTCCGGGAATCCAAGAAAAGAGTTGCGGATTCCCACATGGCTGCAGCAAGTTGCATCATACTGGGTAAAGGGATGCAACGCCAACACTGGAGAAGAAAAGCTACAGCTATTTCTCATGGAACACTTTTTCCGGGATTTACAGGACTGGGCGTGAGACTGCCGCCCCCTCACCTTAAAGGACGTTGCCCGGTTAGCTGATGAGTACGCAGAAACCCGGAAGGCGAGCCAGAGTACTTCTCGCCAACCAGCTCGGATAGAACACCGTACCCGAGCTCCATCCCCCAGGCCAGAGTTCCGTGCTCTGGTACCCCCAGGGCCTACCCGCCCCCAGTGGTCCAGCAACTATCCTCGGGATTTATCCAAGACATCGTGCCATCGATGCCATAAGACCGGACACATTGCCAAGTACTGCCCTTTGGGGTCCTCCGCCTCAAATTGGAGGTGCCCCTCACCCGCCACCGAGACTGCAACCCCTCGGGCACCAGCTGTTCACTGCATGGACACCGAGATGAGCACCGAGGAATGCCTGGGTATCCTATATGAGGCAGATCCAGTTCAAGCTGCCTCCCTGGACAATCGCCAGCAGCACCGTCAGGAGGTACAAGTAAATGGCCAAGTGGCTCAAGGCCTCAGGGACACAGGCATAACCATCATTCTGGTACAACGACATTTGGTGAAACCAGAACACCTGTCAAACCGCACCGTAGCTGTCCGGGTGGCTGGAGGAGCTATATTCCGTCTGCCCACTGCCAGAGTTCACCTCGACTGGGGAGTCTGTTTGGGCATCATGGAAAAATCTACCTGCAGACATCCTGCTAGGCAACAATATTGGACCACTGACTTCAGCCTACTTACCTACCACTCCTGCTACTGCTTGCTCGGTGACCACCCATTCCCAGACCCGTGGTGACGAGGATCCTCACCACCCCTTCCTCTGACTGCTAGACCCCTAGCTTGGGACACCCTGAGGAATTTGGGAGGGAAACTAGAGAGGACCAGTTCCATAAGAAATATAAGTCTGTTCCCGGGACCAGTCTGCTGAGTGGAGAATGTCCCGAAGTGAGGCTCCAGCGCTGAAAGCTCCCGATGCCGCCGCTCCCCTGATAGAGTGGGCTCCGAAGGAGGCTTCAATCCCAGCGAGGGAGAGCAACCACCTAACCCATCGGGCAAGGGAAAAATACCGAAGAAGAGTTTGATTTTGTCCGTCTGGACACGGAAAAGGTGACACCTTCTAGGTAGAAAGCTGAGGAGAGCTTTATTTGGGACAAAGATAGATTATATAGACTAACCACAGGTAGGAAGAGAGGATGTGCCCCATCCCAGAAGTGCCAACTTGTGTTACCCCGGAAATACAGGTTGGAACTCCTTCGTATTGGACACAACATCCCCTTAGCAGGACACCTTGGTGGCAACTGCACCCAGACCTTCTTTTGGCCGGGGATCTCCAAGGACGTGCATCGTTACTGCAGCACATGTGACGTTTGCCAGAGAGTAGGAAAGAGGGGGGGACCACCCTAAAGCTCGACTGCAGCCAATGCCAGTGATCGAGGAACCTTTTAGCAGGGTAGTGGTCGACCTGGTGGGACCTCTACCTAACCCCAGTACATCCGGAAATACATTCTTACCGTGGTGGACTACGCTACCCGTTATCTGGAGGCCGTCGTTTTGATGAATATTCAGGCTGACACTGTTGCCGGTGCCCTAGTCGGAATATTCACCAGAGTGAGGTTCCTGAAAGAAATCCTATCTGACAGGGGGGCGCAGTTTACAGCAGATCTAACCCAACAGTTATGGAAGGTCTGTGGTATAAAACCTCTTCTCAGCTCCCCTTACCACCCCCAGACAAACGGTCTCTGTGAGTGTTTTAATGGTACCCTGAAGCAGTTGCTCCGAACATTTACGGACGAGTACAGAGACTGGGAGTGATTCCTGCCACACCTCTTGTTCGCCTATCGAGAGGTGCCCCAGGAATCCATTGGGTTTTCCCCCTTTGAGCTGCTCTATGGACGGAGAGTACGGGGACCCCTCGACCTCATCCGGGAGGGGAAATGGAACAGGAGGGTGTCCCTTTAGTACCATATGTTCTGCAAATGCGGGACCGTATGGAACAGTTAGCCCGGATGACCAGAGATCACCTCCATGTGGCCCAAAGCAGACAAAAAAAGTGGTACGACCAGGGGACCCGACAAAGGACGTTCCCTTTGCTTGTTGATTGGCTGCCCTGCAGCCTTTCAACACGCGTCATTAAATCGCCGAACACCGAACTCAAACACGAACATACAGTGATATGTCAGTGTTCAGGTCCGGGGTTCAAAAATCTTAATGTTCGGTACGAACCCGAACTTTTCAGTTCGGGTTCGCTCAGCTCTAACTGGGAGTTAAAGAAAATTGGTCTATAAATTATTTATTGTTTACCATACTTAGAAAAACTGACAAAAATATTTTTTTGAAAGATAAGAAATAAGACTATGAAACTGGAGGAGCCTGGTTGCTTGCCTGCTTACCGGCCCATCAAGTACTTTACTGTTTAAACCATGCTACCACAAATAGCTATGCCATGGAGCTGTCACATCCTGTTCCTCGGTGCAGATCATTCTGGCAATGGCTTCTGGTATCCAGTACTCTTTTTTTGCTGTTCTTTCTTGGTTTTTCTGGTTTTCTGGTCTATGTCTGGTTTTCTTTATTGCTGGGTTTCTGAGTTCATTCTTATAGTCTGTCCCTGGATTTCCCAGTCTTTTGGATTCATTTAAATGTTTGTTTTATGTTGCCACACCCGTTTGTTTTCCACTTTCCTTTTGTTTCAGCTTGGACCTGCAGCAGTATTTCATCTCTCTGCCCTTTCTTGCAGGTAAGTGCTATTGTGGTATAGTGTGGTTGTTTTAGTATGCATTAGGCAGTGTAGGACCTGCCAGATATGGGGTACATTTGCGTTGTGGCAGGCTTATGCAATGTATGATCATATAGTGTAACTAAATCCCCATACTTTTCATATATAGTGCTTGGTTATGTTTCCTCTTGTTTTACCTTGTATCTCTTGTCTTGTTTATTTTGTCTTGTAATCCAAGTCCATGTACAGTCCTGTTCAATCTTGCCCATAGGTTATGCTTTCTGTCCTGCTCTGGTTCTGGGTTCTCCTAGTTTTGTCTTGTTTTCATGTATGGTGCCTATTTCTAGTCTTGCCCTGTTCTCCTAGTTCTGTCTTGTTTTCATGTATGGTGTCTATTTCTAGTCTTGCCCTGCTCTCCTAGTCTTGCCTTGCCTTGCTTCAGTACTGGATATGTCCCTGCTGAAGCCTCCCTAGTTCCTGGGATCCGCTCCTAGTTCCTGGGATCCGCATAAGCTGAATCAGGGTTCTGGTATGTGGCTGCACAAACGCTGGTGCTCAACACCAGGGGGCGTGTGGTTGCCCTGCACCAGACCCTGCTAATCCACCTCCACACTGTGACTCCTACTCTGAACATCAGACATACATGGGTCCCAGTCCACACACCGCTGCCCGGAGAGTGTCTGGGTCCCGGGCACCGGACCGCCATCCCTGACAGGAGCCCAGCCGTATACCAAAAGACTGTATGAAAGACACTGGCTCCATGGCGATTGAACTGTATGTATGTGATCTGAGCGCCATCCGGTAGTAATGGGCGCTCAGATCTAAGCTATCTGGGGATAGGTAGAATGTGTATGTTCTATGTGATAAATGTAACAGTATGTAATTTTATGTCTTTTATTGTCCTTTGTCCGTCATGTGGTTAATGGAGTGTTGCCTCTGTCCTTGGAGATAATTGGATTACTTCCCTATTATCTCCAGGAGAGAGGAAAGGGATTGTGATGCATTGTGGAATTGTAAGTTTGTGATTGGTCAATGTCCAATATGTTTCCCAATCTTCCATCTAGTCCCCTAAGGGAGTGTCCACCAGGTGGGAGACCTGCATAAAAGTCAGGCAGGTAGCACCAGTAAATCAGTTCTGCTTGATCCTCAAACAAAGTGTTGTCTCGTTCTTGCGGGGAATTGGATTGTATGCTGTTACAGTGTGACTGCGAGGAATGTAAGCTGTTCGTATGATTTTTCCTGTTCAGGTGTTTAACAGCATTCATGTGTTTCCTGTTCGGGAGTTGGAGGATTCATATGGTTCCAATTCAGGAGTTGTAGA